GGTTTTTTCCGATCTTCGAGGTTTTGGAAGGCGCCCAAGAGGTGCACTACCAGCTTTTTAAAATTGCCTGTAAACTGGCATAATAAACATATTATTATTATTATTATTTTCTCTATCTCCTTTCGAGCGAAGAATGCAAATTTATCCTAACACTAATCCTATTCACATTCTATTCTCCTCGTCTTTTCCGTGCAGCTTTCTCCGTGACTCAGGGGAAGGATCATCGGAAATTTTGAATATCCTCTTGAAACTATTCTCCCTGCCTCGCGTCCCCCGTGAAACTAAAGGCCTTCATAAACCACTGGTCATTCAAACGACAGAAGCCATATGGACGTACTTATTTAAAACTGCTCCCATCACGTTGGCTACTAACCATCATTAGAGATCCATTTTGGCTTCTGAGATATTGGAGCCCTACGTTAGCTGAAGCTTCTTCGCGAGATTTTATTGTATGCACATTAGCACATACTGTTGTAGCATACATATTGTAGCATTAACCTACTCTTCATATCTATCTTATTTCCTTAAGCAGTTTTTTTCTCCTACAAACTTTTTTAAATGGAGGCACGTTGAACTCTGCCTTCATTTTCATGATAGGGGTTTTTTAACCGCCGATTTTCTAGTTCGCCATTAATTGCAAAACATCGTCAAGTTTTGCCCTTAAGGGACAATTTCGGCTGAAATTATTACAAAAAGGTACATTTTACCTGCACATATCGTTATAATTTTTTTACGAAATTAAGCTTGTATAGATACTGCGTTCCTGGTGCTAATAAATATAGATATAAAAATATATACAGGAGCATATAATCGTTAATTGGAGAAATTTACGTCTAATTATCGAATAGCTGTAGCGAAAAGTGACAGAAAAATGATAAAGAAAAATTGTCACGAGGACTTACAAAAAGAAGCCCTCTACAGTATCGGCCGCATTAGGTGTAATAATAGCTCCTACTGCTTAAACGGATTTATGTCTGGCAAGATGCAATCGCGAAATGAAAATCGACGGTCATCATCAAATAGAAAATAATAAATTCTACGAAGACTTAGAAGTTGCAAAGTATTTACTTTCAAACGGCTGATAAAAAATGTAATACTTTTGTATCCTAACATCCAGGTTTAAAGTTTTGCTGTTTTCGAAACTATTGCCGTTAAGCTATTAAACGTAACCGTAAACATTCAATGGCATCGATAATCTCGTGCGCAAGATAGACGTGGAATAAACAGCATTGTCTACCTATGCCAACCACGAACAGTGTACGTTATTTGAAAAATGTCAGCCAATAAAGGCTTCCTCGTACAGTTTAAAAGGTCTTACAGCCCTTCATCAAAGACTAAATTTTGTATCACCTTACAGAGAATAAGCTACTGCCTGCTGCTCAGAGCTTGGCCAAGTGAAAACTGCCGGCCACTTTTCACTGATCTGTGAACTATTGTTGACTGTCTTATAGGGGCCACTTCATATTCATTTCCATCCTGTTGACTATGCTCACCGTCACTTGAAACTTTCGTCCCATAAAATATGAGCTTTAGGTCCGATAGTAGAGAGTACAGGTCCTCAAATTGTGCTTCGACTTTAACTGGGTAAAATTCAAAGCAGAGACAAGATTCGCCTATTTTAAGTTGGGAAGGTTTCAGAAGAGCAGTTATCTGAAATTATTTGCATTTACTTTCGACAAGTTCATTACGTCTATAGATCTTGAAGTTTGCCAGCAAAACTTTGTTTTATTTGACAAATGGCTTCGCGGGAGATCGAGGCCGGCGGGTTCCAGACGGCGGTTACTCATTGTGCAAGTGTAATCTGTATGTATTATTTCGTCTACATGATCCTAAAATCGCACTTAGCAGTTGTATCCGGAAAAAAATTATAGCGCACTAAAATCTAGCAACTTAAGATGTCACAGGTGGATTTTTCAGGGACCCCTGATAATATTTTGCTGACAAATAATGTATGTATATATGTACATAAAGTATATA